GCTGAAGTGAACATACAAGTGCAGGTGTCATATTTGCTTTGTTTTTGCACCCTGAGGTATATTCCCAGCAGTAGTATTCCTATTCAATGTCCATATAAAGATAACCATGACATTTTTCAAAGAAACAGACAAAACACTCCTGAAATTCATATGGAAAAATATGAATAAATAGCTAAATAGCTAAAGCAGTACTTGGGAAAAAGAAAACAAGAGGCATCACCTTCTCCAATGTCAAGATCTACTACAAAGCAACAGTAATAACATAGCATGGTACTAGAATAGAGAAAGACCCATAGACCATAGACCCATAAACTTCACAGCTACAAGCAAAGATAAATGAATAAATAAATAAATTCAGATCTTTAGTGCCAGGCACAAAAGTCGGACCAAAATGGATTAAAGACCTCAATATAAGACGTGGGTCCATATGATACATCGAAGAAAACATAGATGGAACCCTTCATAGCATTGAAGCTAAAGACATCTATAAAGACGAAACACTACTAAACAAGCAAATAGAAGCAGAGATAAACAAATTGAACTACATTAAACTAAGAAGATTCTGAACTTCAAAAGAAACAGTGACCAAGATACAAAGACAGCCCGTAGAATGAGAAAAGTTATTCACCCAGTACTCATCTGATAAGATATACAAGAAATTGGTAGAATTTTAAAAGGTAAAAGGTAAAGGCCCTCCCGTTGATCGTCAATTTGCTCGAGCGGGCCCAGTAACGTCTCCATTGGAGACTTTGTTGTTACTGTGTCTGGCATATCGAATACTCTGGGTAGCTTGCCGGGCTCTCCGAGAGGGGCGGAGGAATCGAACTCGGGTTGGCCATGTTGGCCGCTTGTAAGGCGAACGCCCTACCGCTATAAAAACATCCCGCCCCGTCCAAAAAATGGGGAGAAAAAATGAACAGAAACTTCCTCAAAAACAGAAATACAAATGGCCAAAAGGTGCATGAAAAAATGCTCTACATAACTAATCATCAGTGAGTTGCAAATTAAAACAACAATAAGATATCATTCTACACCACAGAGCCTGGCAGATGTCGAAAGAATAACAACTAGTGCTGGCATGGATGTGGAGAGAAAGGGACTCTCATTCATTGTTGGTGGGAATACCAGCTGATTAAGCCTTTTGAGGAAATAATATGGGCATTCCTCAAAAAACTAAAAGTTGAGCTTCCATATGATCCAGTAGTACCACTTCTGAAAGCCTGTGATTCTTTTTTTCAGCTGTGACTGTTCAGGTAATGAGCCCATCAAAGGCATTTTTTCATTGCTGTTGAAGTGCTTTTTAAAATCTCTAGCATTTATATTTCATTCATTCTCAGAATTTCCATATCTGCTTACATTATCCATAGGTTGCATATTGTCTGCGTATGGCACTAGAGTTAAATATAATTCTGTTTAACTGTGGGATCTGATAATTTCAACATCTGTCATATATATGTTTGCTTCTGATGTTTGAACTGTCTCTTCTAATTTTTTTTTCTTTTGGCTTTATTTGTACTTTTGTCGAAAAGTAATCAGAAAGGAAGTGTGGTGAGTAGGTCTTTAGTAGTATAGTGGCAGTGATTGTGGGACAACATTCTGTCATCCTTGACTAGGTTTTATTCCTGGACTTTGAATATCACTGTTAATTCTATCTGATTTCCCCCAACTAACTTATATTGTACATGATGACTAGGGTTGTAGATTTTCTTTCCTGCAGGAAAGGCCAGGACAAACTGGATTAGGTCTTTCCCTTTCCCCACATTAGTTAGACTCTAAAATCAATCCAAATATTAGGTTCTAAGAAAATGTTTTCTCTCTAGAGTAGGTCTTGTTAACTGATTGATCTGATATATTTCAAAATGCTGACCTTTATCCTTATTACTGGAAGCACATGGGATTTTTCTCTAATCTTCTCTGTGGGAATGAACATTGGAGAGGTTTAAGATACTCATAAAAGTATATCTTTCTCCCCCATGACTGGGTCCCCTAGAGTTGTTTTCTCTTAAGACTTTTTCATACCTAGAATCTAGAATCCAGAAATTCATTAATTACAGTTCATGGTTTTCTACCTTGGCAGTGGTTCTATGGAGGATTCTGCTTCAGTAACTTGTGATTCTTTGTATTTGTCAGTTTGTCTCTCCAAATATGGACTAGTGGTTTGTACTGTGACCTTTACTTCTCTGAGGAATCTAAAAAAAGTTATTGATTTTCCCTTTTTTTTATGTTAAGATGGCATGGTGAATTCTAAGCTTCTTATATAGCATATCAGAAACTAGATAATTCTTTCTATGGGGAGGTGTATGAGGTAGGAGGTTTAGCCACACCTGTTTATGCCCAGAGATTACTCCTGATTTCTGTGATCAGGGAGCACTACTAGCAGTGCTCAGGGGGCTATATGTGGTGCCAGGGATTGAATCAGGGCTGACCACATGCAAGACAAGCACCTTAACCACTGTGCTACTTTTCTGGTGCCAGTGCTTTCAACTTTACAAGAAAATGCTGTCAGCTTTTACCTTTAAGAATTCACATGCTGACATCTGCAATTGTTTGTTCATTGCAGCACTCTTTTCAATAGCCAGAATCTGGAAAAAACCTGAGTACCCAAGAACAGATTTCTGGTTAAAGAAACTTTGGTACATCTACACAATGGAGTACTATGTAGCTGTTAGAAAAGATGAAGTCATGAAATTTACTTACAAGTGGTACTACATGGAAAGTATCATGCTAAATGAAATGAGTCAGAAAGAGAGGGATAGACATAGAAAGACTGCATTCATTTGGGGGACATAAAGTAACAAAATAGGAGATTAATACCCAAGAATAGCCGAGATCAGTACCAGAATTACTCCATGGCTTAGAGGCCAGCCGGGCATTCTAGGGGAAAGGGCAGCTCAGATAGAGAAGGGAGCACCAAATAAAGGTTGTTTGGAGGATCCTCCCAGGATGGGAGATGCATGTTGAAAGTAGACTATGGACCGATCATAATTGCCACTCAGTGCCTCTTTTGCGGACTGCAACACCCAAAAGGAGAGAGAGAACATAAGGGAATGCCCTGCCACAGAGGGAGGGTGGGATGGAGGGATGGGGGTGGGAGGGATACTGGGATCCATGGTGGTGGAAAATGGGCACTGGTGGAGGAATGGGTATTTGATCATTGTATAATTGAAACCCAAGCACAAAAATTTGTAAGTCTACAACTGTACCTCATGGTGTTTCACTAATAAAAATAAAAAAAAAACTCTAAAAAAAAATAGAATTCACATACTGACTTCTGAGATCATAGAAGGTCAAGCTATTTTTTTTCTTTTTGGGTCTCACCCGGCAATGCACAGGGGTTACTCCTGGCTCATGCACTCAGAAATTACTCCTGGCAGTGCTCAGGGGACCATATGGAATGCTGGAAATCGAACCTAGGTCAGCCATGTGCAAGGCAAACGCACTACCCGCTGTGCTATCGCTCCAGCCCCAAAGGTCAAGATTTTTAAAGTGAATTATTTTTAAAGATATATCCTTGATTTATGATAATATTTATACTTCTCTAATATAGCTATACATTTCAAAATGTAACATATGTTATGAGGCATAACCACCTGTACTCATGTGGAACATTTTCAGCTTTATCTCTTTTGCACTTTAAAGATATGATGTTATTATCCTGTGGAAGTAATTGCTCTTTGATTTGTATCTGAGGATCCCTACATGTGGAGATTTTTAAAAGGAGATTAAACCTTTCTAGAATATTCAGTTCTCAAAAAGTGAAAATTGTTGCCAAAGTTAAGAACCTATTGTTGATTAATGGGGAAATCACTCGTGATTTAAATTTAATGATTATACTTTACCTTTGACATTTAAAAATCATAGTAGTTCAGCTATCCTTCCACCAAATACTGTCGTTTCATTGAAAATTAATTTCACAACTTTTAGGGTACTGGTGGGGACACACCATTCGGTGCTCATAACTTACTCCTGGTCCTTTGCTCCTGGATCACTTCTGATGGTTCTCAGAGGACCATGTAGGATACAAGGTATTAAATCCAGTCAGCTGCATGCAAGGCTAGCAGCCTACCTCCTGTACTATCTCTCTAATCCAGCTATGCAACTTTGAACCTGTGAAAATTTTTGAACAAAGGCAAAATATTTAACTTTACCTTACTTCAACTCCCTTAGCTGTAAAGTGAGAATGGACAATATTGATTATCCTTATAAGAACATGATAAGAATTAAATAAAATAATATCTGAAAAGTTTTTAACCTATGTCTGGCACATATTAAATGTGCAAGTAGAAGCACATTGGAATGTGATTTCAGATGCTGTGATTTCAGCTTAATATACAACTGACTACAATAGTCAGGTTTCAATGTCTTGTTGACAACATTGGGGATGGTAATCACAACAGGCTATGGTATGTAGCATGGGTGTGTTATAGACTAAACCATCTAAGTTTGTAGAGTTGCATTCTATGATATCTGAACAATTCCAAAATCATATATATAGTAAAGCATTTCTAAGAAATAGTCACTACCATTAATGGATGTGCTACTCGGGCTGGAGAGTTAGTACAGTGGGTAAGGTGCTTGCATTGTATGTGGCCAACCCTGGTTTGGTCTCCAGCATCTCATATGATTCGCTGAACTGCACACCATCAGAATTGACTACTGAGTGCAGAGCAGGAGTAAGCCTTGAGCATCTTCAGGTGTAGCCCCTGTATCTCCCACTCCCCCCAAAAGAGAGATGTATTACTTTAATTAGCTCAACATGAATCTAACCATATTTAGAGATGAGATTCGTCAAATATGTGTACAGATTCCTGATATTATTATCTTCAGATCACTGTGTTCTAACCAATTCTTGGAAGCTGAGTTTATTAGTGTTTTTGGATCAAAATAAGTACTGAAAGTACAATACCACAATATAAAAATGTAAGAAATCTATTGTATAAATCTGTATTTAATAGGCTCACAGGTATTTTTCTTAATTTTTATACTTTATTGCCTTATAGATAAATCCAAAGTAGATGCTAAAGTTGCTGTGGTATCCACAAAAAAGGTAAGATCATAATTCATAGCATAAAATGTACAGACTTAAAATTTGATCAGATTAATTACAAATTTTAATGGACTGTAGTAGAGAGATATTGCTACTATGGTGGCAGATGTAGTGTGTTAATGTATTTTAAAGAGATATTAAATTGTAGCACTGAAAGATAGTCGTGTTAACCAAAAATACTTAAATATTATTTTTAAATAAAAAGCTTTTTTTATTTGGAGGTGGTGGCAGTGTTGGGCCGCGCCTACTCCTATCTCTGCACTCAGGGATCATTTCTGACATGGCTTGGGAGACTGTATGGGATGTCAGGGATCAAACCCTGGTCATCCACATGTAAAGCAAGCACCTTACTCACCGTACCCTTTAATGTTCAGGGGACCATATCTATGGATGATGGAATTAGGGTTAGTCATTGGCAAAGCATGTACTATTAACCCCTGTACTATTTCTACAGCCACTAAAATATTTATTTATTTTTTATTTATTTTCCTTTTTTTTTTTTTTTGGTCACACCCGGCAACACACAGGGGTTACTGCTGGCTCTGCACTCAGGAATTACTCCTGGCGGTGCTCAGGGGACCATATGGGATGCTGGGAATCAAACTTGGGTCAGCTGCGTGCAAGGCAAATGCCCTGCCCACTGTGCTATCTCTCCAGCCCCTAAAATATTTATTTTTATGGCATGTTGTTGTAATGTGTACAAGTCAATGGAAAATTTGATTATTAATATTCATGATTTAATATGTGATTTAGCTTAAAATTGGGAACCACTTCAGTCATTTGTATTAATTTTCGAAATGAATCTTCCAGTAGAAATTTGTAAAGTTTATATTCTTTAAGAATTTTAAATTTTAGTATATCAATAGCACAGCGGTAGGGCGTTCGCCTTACAAGCGGCCAACATGGCCGACCCAAGTTCGATTCCTCCGCCCCTCTCGGAGAGCCCGGCAAGCTACCGAGAGTATTCAATATGCCAGACACAGTAACAATAAAGTCTCCAATGGAGACGTTACTGGGCCCGCTCGAGCAAATCGACGCTCAACGGGAGGGCCTTTACCTTTACCTTACCATTCTATGTATTGCCTGCAGAGAGATATTCAGACTCTCGTTAATTAATTACAAAGCTATAATTGGTATAGGATGAATCCTGGCTTCTTCCCAAGTGATACATTCTTAATAAGACATTACTGAAAAACATAATCAGTGCTTAAAAATGTCCTTCTAGACAGTTAATATATTGATGACATAAGAAAAAAAAGAACTGTAATTAAAAGAAGCACTTATCCAATCTGTATTTCCTGTTTCAAGTCATGAGGTGGACAGCAGAGTAGACATGGAGAAGATTGAGTGTAACCCTTTAGGAGCAGAAAATAATGCGGGCATCAGCCTTTAGCGAGCAAACAATGAGGGAAACAACTGAATGGATGTTATTCTGAATATCTACATTTAGAAGTACTTGTAAAATCAAATTTTTCTTAGTCTTCATTGGCTAAGTAATGCCTGTTGTACTCTGCAGAGAGAAATTTACAAGATTGTCCTTTAAGAATAAAGGAGAAAAAGCTTGTCTGTATATGTGATAATTTGAACAGGATAAATACATGAAGAGGGTTTTGATGTAGATAGAAATTTTTCTTTCAAGCCCTGCTAAAGAAAGTTTAAAATAAAACAAACATTTATAAAGATAATTATAATTAACATTTCTTTGTATTATTTTGTTTTTACCCATGATTCTTAGTGAAGGCAGTATAGTTTCTAGAGCAGCATTTTTCAAACAGTGCTCCATAGATCAAACTGTAACACATAGACATACTTGTAATAGTGTAAGATAGACTGTAATAGACACTAATAGACAATGTAATAGATATTACTGTTATGTAACAGACATAACTCTAACATCCACTGTAAGACACATAAGGGATTGTTTTGTTGCTTTCTGTAAGTGCAAAAGATTAGAGTGACCATGTAGGAAATCATGTAGTAATGTGACAGTAATTTTTGTCTGTTGAATGTAGTAATGAAATGAAATTCGAGTTTTGTATGACTTTGTCTTTTATCTCATTTTTTGCCTAGCAACTTAGACTAATAGAGATGATTTACTATATTTATGGCATGTAATAACAGATATATCACAGTGTTATTTAACTGCGTGTATGCTGATGAATGTGTTGGTATTTTCAGATGCTATTTTAGTTTAGTACTATTACAAGCAGTTTTATGGAGGAAAGGTCTCTCAAGTGATGTTTTGGATGTCCAGAGACCCCTTCAGCTGATCATTTGTTTGACAATTACCCAGACCATTCCTGCAGCACTGTAATTTCCAGAGTTGCACCTTGTGATGCTGGGATGAATCAGGACTGGTTGGAGTCAGGAACTAAGCATCTTAGTTCCTGTACTGTCTCTCTGACCCTACAAGCAGCATTTTTAATAAATGTCATTATATATGTATCCTTAAATCCTGGTGCTGTTATTTCTGTAGAATATACTTCATGAAGTGATATTTCTAGATTCAAGTTAACCAGGTACTGCATGCCTTTCCTGAATCATGATGAATGAGTTGTTGAAGGCATATATTTGGCCTATCCTGATTGTATTGGCTCCTACCTCTCTGAACAAAGATTTAGGAGTATTGCCACTTGGACACTATTCTTAAATGACTGTTAGGTATAGGTTTCTGGGTTCATGCGAGAGTTCTATCTGAAGGTCTCTGCCTCTTCTGTAGACATCTCAGTCAGATCTTCAGCCCATTAAGCTATCCTCCCCGTTAAGGTATTGTGAGTAGTCTAGATGCACCTGCCGAACTTCTGCCCATTGGCAGAAATTTGAAGTGAAGAGACTAAGTCCATCAAACTAATTAATTCTCTTTGAAATCGACAGAGTAAATATCTACATCAGAGTCCTAAAAATATAGAAAATATATTAATGAGAAGAATAGTGTACTGAGAAAACTGAGCATCAAAAACTTATATATATTCTGAAAGTTGTTTAAATGTGTGTGTGTATGTGTGTGTTTGTATACATACAGCAAACAGTATGTTGTAGTGGAATGAATATAATCTTGTGAATGATTTGATTTGACTTCAACAGCTAATTCTGCGACTTAGTTTTATGTGACCTTAGGCAAGTTAACACCTTTGCACCTCATTGAATTAATCACTACTTGGGGAACAATAATAATTACCTTGCATGAGTGTTATAAAAGTTACTATGAAAAGCAATTATAATAGCATATAATTACTATATTTTAGCATGTGCTTGTTTAACAAATGCCAGTTTCTCCCTAATTTCTCTTTAGTAAGATATAGGAAGAACTGAAGAAAATTTAGCTTTCCTAGCCTTTTAATAGCATCAGAATTAAAATTAGGTAAAGACTTTTTTAAAGCACCACATTTGTGTCAAAATTTAACTTTTTTCATTAATATACTAACATTATAGTTGGAGAATAGAATGTTTAAAATCATCCAAAATCCAGCACTGTAATTAAGTCAACTTTATTAACTTACTTTTAATTCTATTTCACTATTTTTAACTGAAAATTATACTTTTCAGTTATAATTTTGTCTCTATGAGAAAATCAGCTTTATAGTTTTCATTGAATTTAAAATGATTGCCACTCAATGCCTCTTTTTTAAACCACAACACCGAAAAGGAGAGAGAGAACAAAAGGGGATACCCTGCCACAGAGGCAGGGTGGGATGGGGAGGTGGGGGTGGGAGGGATACTGGGACCTATGGTGGTGGAAAATGGGCACTGGTGGAGGGATAGGTGTTTGATCACTGTACAGTTGAAACCCAAGCACAAAAATTTGTAAATCTACAACTGTACCTTATGGTGTTTCACTAACAAAAATTTTAAATATATATATATTTATATCATATATAATTAACTATATTTATTGGAGCCATAGCACAGCGGTAGGGCATTTGACTAGCACGCAGCCAACATGGCCCACCCGAGTTCGATTCCTCCACCCCTCTCAGAGATCCCGGCAAGCTACCGAGAGTATCTCGCCCACACGGCAGAGCCTGGCAAGCCACCCATGATATATTCGATATGCCAAACACAGTAACAACAAAATCTCCAATGGAGACGTTACTGGGCCTGCTCGAGTAAATCGATGAACGGGAGAGCCTTTATATCTATAAATACATAAATAACTGACTTAATAAAAGACATGTATCTGTATAAGATGCTTATTAGCACATATATGTATAATGCTTTCTTCACTTAATGTTATATTCTGGACATATTTTCAAGTCAAAGGCACATCATATTGCCATATCCTAAGTAATTACATAGTATTTCATTGTATGCAAGTGTCTTCATTCATTGAACCATCTCCTCCACATCTAGGTTAACTCAGCCTTCACAAATTGTAAATCAAGTTGCAACAACATTATTGTGCACCTTAAAACATTTGGGTAAATATTTCTAAGGAAAAAATTACTAGAAGTTGGTATGTCATCCCTCAAAATAAGCACATTTTTTTCTAAATTGTTGAAAAGTCAAAAAATCACTCAACATTATTACATCAATGACATTCTATTAATACAATATATCATTGATACAATATTTATATTACAATGTAAATAGTATATCAATGATATATTGTACTAATCTAGAATTAGTAATTTCTAGATTAATAGAAAAACCAAGGAAAACAAAGTAAACTATAAAGTTAAAATCACACACACACACACACACACCCCTTGTACCACTTCCAAAATTTTAGTGTTTTAGAACCATTATTAAAAGCATTGAAAATGAAAAAATAAAGGTAAGGTAAAGGTAAAGGCCCTCCCGTTGATCGTCGATTTGCTCGAGCGGGCCCAGTAACGTCTCCATTGGAGACTTTGTTGTTACTGTGTCTGGCATATCGAATACTCTCGGTAGCTTGCCGGGCTCTCCGAGAGGGGCGGAGGAATCGAACTCGGGTCGGCCATGTTGGCCGCTTGTAAGGCGAACGCCCTACCCGCTGTGCTATCGCTCCAGCACAGTAACAA